GTGGCTCTACGGAGCTGTGGTGTACACCATTCGATTCTCCATGCAAAATGCTATCGAACGATATACATCTCAGTTCCCACTTGAAACTTTCGTTTTTCACCGTTTTCGGCCTTTTCCTTATCGCCGATCGCCTTCCTCAGCCCTGGCCACCCACGTGCTATTCACGTGCGCGGTGCGTGGTGACTTTCCCACGCACTTTCGACACGCATAGCGGTGTATCGATCGGGCTGCGCCAGCTACCGCGAAAGGCCATCGGCTGTCACGTGAGCTCTCACGCTCCGCGCACGTGAATAGCACGTGGGTGGCCAGGGCTGAGGAAGGCGATCGGCGATAAGGAAAAGGCCGAAAACGGTGAAAAACGAAAGTTTCAAGTGGGAACTGAGATGTATATCGTTCGATAGCATTTTGCATGGAGAATCGAATGGTGTACACCACAGCTCCGTAGAGCCACCTGGAAGACCAAAAAATCTGGTTTTTATTTCAGGGCATGACGGAGAGCGATGTTTGAGGCCACACCAGGGAAGAAACACTCGCTCAAGCCCGAGTGTATCATCTTTTTCCAACATACAAGTAAACTTACTCTACGATAGGGAAGAGAGTTCGTCCCTCCCTTCTCGAATTTCCTCAAAACATCCCTTCGAAAATTGGGAAATGTCACAAAATGGATCTAGTGGCAGGTAAACTAGATGTTCTCCAGAAAGTGAGTTGTATACCGTTCGACAGTATTTTTATGGGGAATTGAATGGTGCACATCTCAGTCTTCTATGTTCATCTGGAGAACCAAAAAAATCTGATCATATCGCAAGGGCATGACGAGGTGTGATGTTTGGGGTCGCACTACGGAAGGAAGACTCACCTGCCACCAAGGTTTCTATGTAATTCCTACAGACAAGTAACCGTAGTCTACGTCAGTAAAGGAAATTCGTCGCTGCCTTCACAGCTTTCTACATAACATGCTCTAAACATGGAACATGTCGCAAAAAATGGGGCGAGGTGTGATGTTTGGGGCCACACTACGAGAATGAATGTCATATTCGTAATCAGGGCATCGAATTACCCCAATAGGCAAAGTTTCGACGAAAAATGAAACTTTGAGATTTTGGGATAGTAATAGTGGAATAATGATGCGCAATTGGCAATAGGGGAAGGCTGAAAACGGTGAAAAACCAAAGTTTCAACTGGGAGGAGTAATGTATATCATTCGATAGCAAGGCACGTCTCAATCTGCGCATCATCTGGAAATGCAAAAAATCTGATTTTTATTTTAGGGCATGACGGAGAGTGATGTTTGGGGCCACACCACGGACGGAGCGCTTACCCGTGACCAAATATTCTACATCAATCTTACAGAGAAGTAACTGGAGTCTACGTCTGTGGAGAGATTCCTGGCTATCTTCTCAGGTTTCCGCAAATCATCTCCTCTAAATGTGGGGAATGTCACATAATAGGTCTACTACTACTGCTGGAAACTGTTCGAAGATTCTCATTTGGAGTGGAAGAATGGGTTGATCAGCGCACGGTTAGCCAATTAGCGCTCTAGAACGAATTAAAGATCGTGAAATTCGAAAAAAAACATTCATTCAATCTCACCATATGGTGGACCGGTTGGGTACGTGGCGTATTCTGAGGGTGTTGAGATCCATGTTTCTGTGGATGATCAGGCTGCATAGGAGGACTTATATGCGCATCACATACAAAGTATATTCATTACTTCTCGGGATGGAGGTCGAGTGCATGGCGCAATCCTAGATGGAGCTCTTTCAGAAATTGAATTTAACCATCTTGTAGATCTCGAGCAGAGCTATCAGATGGTATAAACTGCAGGTCGAGCGAACCATTTTTTAAAGAGTTATGGCGAGCCGACGGTTTGCGACGGTTTCCGACCGTCGCAAACCGTCGATTGAACAAAAATTAGTAGCGGTATTGTAGGAAACCGTCAT